ATAAAAGGTGATAAAACTTCTGCCTGGCACTCCCTGAGGACAGGCAACTTTGGACTCCGGAATCACATCTAAGCTATCCAGCTCCCCTAAAGCCCTCATACCGGACAGAGTACGGGATGAGACGTCACAGGGTTATAGAGATGTCCAAGAAGTGCCAGCTGGTTAAGTCTTCCCAGCCCAGTCACCTGATATGTGAATGAGGAATCCTTGAAGATGACTTCAGGCCCAGGTACCATCTGCCTCCCACTGTGTGAGAGACGAAGCCTTTTAAATGATTTCAGCCCCAGCTATCACCTGTTTGCATCCTCATGAAAAACCCCAAGAGGAAACTGCCTAGCCAAGTTCAAACATCAGAATCATAAAAGATTTAAAAAAAAAAAAAAAAAGATTGTTGTTTTATACCACTAGATTTGCAATGGTATATTGCACAGCAGTAGAAAACCAAAGCAGATTTTGGTTATAGGGTTGCTTCCAAAAATATAAATGTTTGGCTTCAGGATTAGATAGCAGGAAAAAGTCAGAAGTGGCTCAGTGTTAATGAGAGCCTGAAAGGGTCTTAACTGTCACTGTTAGGAAAAGCCTCAAGGAAGCTGTCGATAGACTTAAAACAGGGGTCAGCAAACTACAACCCACCAACAAAATTCAACCTGCTACCTGTTTTGGTAAATAAAGTTTTACTGAAACACAGCCACACCCATTCATTTACATATCGTCTGCAAGTGCCTTCTCACTACAACAGCACAGTTAAGTAGGTGTGCCAGTGACGACATGGCCCCCAAAGGCTAAAATATGTATTGTCTGGCCCTTGACAGAATAAAGTTGGTGATCCTTGGCTTAAAAGAAAGAAAAGTGTTACTGAACACTGAAGGAAAGGAAAATCCTATTAGATAAGTGGAAAGTTTAGCAAAGCTGTCATCTGAAACAATGTTGAAAATAGAAATATAGGGTGCCTGGGTGGCTCAGTTGGTTGGGCGACTGCCTTCGGCTCGGGTCATGATTCTGGAGTCCTGGGATCGAGTCCCACATCGGGCTCCCTGCTCGGCGGGGAGTCTGCTTCTCCCTCTGACCCTCTTCCCTCTCATGCTCTCTCTCATTCTCTCTCTCTCAAATAAATAAAATCTTAAAAAAAAAAGAGAGAGAGAGAAAATAGAAAATATAACTAATGGGGGTGCCTGGGTGGCTCAGTCATTAAGCGTCTGCCTTCGGCTCAGGTCATGATCCCAGGGTCCGGGAATCAAGCCCTGCATCGGGCTCCCTGCTCGGCAGGAAGCCTGCTTCTCCCTCTCCCACTCCCCCTGCTTGTGTTCCCTCTCTCGCTGTGTCTCTCTCTGTCAAATAAATAAAATCTTTAAAAAAAAAAAAAGAAAATATAACCAATGAACTGATTAATATGGGTAAAGAAATTTCCAGGCAGAATATCAAAAGTGTCATTTTTTTTCAGCTAACTATCATAAAGTACAGATAGAGAGAGATGAGAAAAAGAAGGAATTATATAATTTTTAAAAATTATAGAGGAAATATAAAGGAGTCAGGACTTGCTAGGTCCAAAAATAAAACTGTTTCTTACTCCCATAGAGCAAACATTTCTCAAATTAAGAAATGCCCCATCTGCCTTCAGCTTGGGTCATGATCCCAGGGTCCTGGGATCCAGCCCCAAGTCGGGCTCCCTGCTCAGCAGGAAACCTGCCTCTCCCTCTCCCATTCCCCCTGCTTGTGTTCCCTCTCTCACTGTCTCTCTCTCTCTGTGTCAAATAAATAAACAAAATCTTTAAGAAAAAAATAGAAATAATCAAAGAAAACATTTTTAAAAAAATTAAGAAATGCCCAGAGGTGCCTGGGTGGCTCAGTCGTTAAGCATCTGCCTTCGGCTCAGGTTATGATCCTGGGATCGAGGCCCACATCATTGGGCTCCTTCTCCCTCTGCCTGCTGCTCTCCCTGCTTGTGCTCTCTTGCTCTCTCTCTGACAAATAAATAAATAAAATCTTTTTTAAAAAATTAAGAAATACCCTCTAGAGAAAGATCAAATCCAAGGCAGTGTCAGGGACTCATGGCCTAAAGATTAAACATTTGTTTAGACCAAGGATTGGCAAACTTTTTCTATAAAGGGAAAGATTAAGTCTTGTGGACTTTGAGGGCCATACACAGTCTCTGTTGAACATTCTTTTTTTTACAACCCTTTAAAAATGTAAAAACAAATCTTAGCTCACTGGCAATAGTTGACCAACCCTAGTGTAGACTCCAAAGAGATTTAATTTGGGGGCCTGGGTGGCTCAGTCGTTAAGCATCTGCCTTCAGATCCCAGAGTCCTGGGATCCAGCCCCACATCAGGTTCCCTGCTCTGGGGGAAGCCTGCTTCTCCCTCTCTCACCCCCCTTGCTTGTGTTCCTTCTCTTGTTGTGTCTCTCTCTGTCAAATAAGTAAAATCTTTTTTAAAAAAGATTTAATTTAAGGTGGTGCCTCATAATTCCTTTCAAACAAAAAGCCTTCTAAGAATCTTAAAGGTATTGTCCCACAAAAACTTTAAATGGAGCTGAAAGGGTTCAGAACACACTACCCCAAAATAAGGTACATTTGAGTATTTTACAAAAGCTGAAGGAGCTTGAGAAAATGGCAGAAGCAGGAAGGTCACTGTGACCTCTCCCCTGCTCTTCTCCCCTGAAACAGGTCATAAAACTCTCATATGAGAGGTGCCCTCCCTGTACCTGGAAGAAGGGAGCAATCTTATCTCCAAAGCAAAGGGACATAGAGAAGAATCCTAACAAACAGGCCTTGCTAAATTTCCCCCAGTTTACTATACTTTACTCATACTCTGTCTTACCACATTTCTCCACAACTGCCTACTCTTCATCAAACCTAGCATAAAAATACTCAGGTTTAAACATTTCTTCAAGTCAAAAATAGAACTACCCTACAATCTAGCAATTGCCCCACTAAGTATTTACCCAAAGAATACAAAAATATCGTGGATGGAACTATCGAAGTAAGTCAATCAGAAAAAGAAAATTATCATAGGATCTCACTCATATGTGGAATTTAAGAAACTAAACAGAGGATCATAGGGGAAGACAGGGAAAAATAAAACAAGACGAAACCAGAGAGGGAGACAAAACGTAAAAGACTCTTAATCATAGGAAACGAACTGCGGGCTGCTGGAGCGGAGGGGCTGGGGGGATGGGGCAACTGGGGGATGGGCGTTACGCAGGGCACGTGATGAGCTCTGGGTGTTATATGGGACTGATGAATCACTGAACTCTACCTCTGAAACCAATAATACATTATATGTTAATTAATTGAATTTAAATAAAAAAATAAAGCCCTAGGAAGCAAGCAAAAAAATAAAAACAAATAAAATTTCAGAGAAAAAAAAATACAAAAATACTAACTCAAAGGGATATATGCACCACAATGTTTATAGCAGCATTATCTACAATAGCCAAACTATGGAAACAGCCCAAGTGTCTATCAATAGATGAATGGATAAAGAAGTTGTAGTATGCGCGCACATGCGCGCGTACACACACACACACACACACACACACACACACACACACACACACACA